AGGGTTGGAATAATGATTATCGTGCAGTCTAAACTTAATTCTTTTCAATCACTTTTGGATGCCTGCTCTGTAATGAGCTTCTTTCTAACCACTTGCAAAACGTAGTTTCTCTAAAAAATGGCTACTTAATTAGTATGCAGTATCGAAGCCGACTTGCGTAGCATCTACCACATTCTTTCCTTCTTCAAACACCAGGGTCCTTGGTTGCAGCATGGAAGGCTCTTATCGAAGATGTTGTTCTCTCCACCTGTGTTAATTCATTTAAGAGAAAACTGGACATGAACCAAACATCTCATTCACCAGCTAAACATTAATCCATCCAATCAGACAATTACTTACAATTATTTTACTATTCGGGCTAAATGAGTAGCCATGAATCGTCTTTCGGCTAACCTACAGCTGCTCGCTTTTCGCTTGCAATTATGGAATTGACGTATATCTCGAATTCTTCTTCTGTGTCAATACATTTAGTGATCAATTTATTACCAGTGGGAAGCCCAAAAGCATTCACCTAGCTCTGGCTTAATAAAACTGAACTGTCATAGGAATACCGATAAAGACAAGGGAAACTAGGATGACAACTTCGGACATAGTATATACCTCAAGGAGGTCAGTGGAACCCGTCGAGGAAGTGTTCTTATGCAGTAACAAACGCTCGAGACCCCTTTTAGCCAGCGCCCGAGCGTAAATAGCCTCTTCGATGGTGCCGGCAGATAGCAGTCTGAGAACGAGGACAGGCTTTTCTTGACCAATCCGATGGCATCTAGAACAACAGGGGAAGATAAAAATGCTGTGATCATGCAAATGATTGTGAAAAAAGGACTGGCTTGGATCAAGATGCGGTGGTAAGTAGAATTTAAACAAGGACTATGGGAAGGATTTCGCGTGGTCTTCAAGCAAAACATGATCCCCCCATTTGCAATTTTTTGCAAAGACAAATGCCCAAGTTCGGGACACTTTTAAAGCTCATTCTGTCGCTCGGCATGCTGCCTGGGGAGCAGGTAAAGAAAAAAAGATAAGCTGAAAGACGTCGACCGTTTATCAACAGCACTGACGAACCTATAAAGTCCAGTCAGCTAGAGTTTAAAATTGAACCATACATTTTGCCAACTATAAAGAAGAGTTGAGAGCGCGGTCCCTACCTCAGCAGACACAGAGCTACGTTACACGACCATTTCTCCATAGGGTGGTGGTGCAGAGAACAGAAGGCTCTCTTCAAGAGAGAAGCCAGGGAAGACTGATGAGGCCAAAAAGTGCTTGCTCTGAGAAAGTGCTTACAGAGAGCTCTACAGAAAAAAAGTTTCTCTCCTCTAGATAAGGGCAGAATTTTCCGCAACAGCACCATTAACAAACACCATTAACAAAATCTTTAGCTACCAAACTTCTCCTAATTAAACCTTTGTCGTTAATCAAAGACCGCTTTGAAGGCACGCAAAGAGAAGGCTTTTCACTTGCTTGTATCTAAACACGTAGAACCATTTGCAAAGGTATAACGGACAGTTTAGAACTTTACTCATACTGCTTGATTCATTGAAATTAATTGGTTGTCGGTCAAGAACAGTGCAGCAATTCTGTATGCTGAAGTTGAGCAAAAATCATTCGGGCTGGTCGTTCAGTCGGCGAAATTCATTTTTAAAGTCTATCCATTCGTTTATATTCTCTGTAAACTCCCAGACTAACTAACCACTAATGAACACGACATTCGCACTGTCCTTTTAAATAAAATTTTCGTTAACGCACAGGTCCATAACTAGGCTTAAAGTACACTACTCTTCCCTCACTAAAACAGAGAGGAAACCTCTGATCGATTAGAGTTCGTTTTAGTAATTTCGAGAGCTTTTTTTCTATCATACAGTGTTTCTAGTTCGTTGCAAACACAGATGAACAGTGTAAAAGGTGCTCCAGTAGTCGAAAAATATGGTATATCTTCTAGTTCAAACTCCCAGATCCAGGCAACTAAATTGAAGATCCTGAAATTTAACAAATCCTCTCTTTACTCAAGCGCTGGTGACTAACGCTTTCGCTTCTATTCGTACAAAGGGTCATTACATGTCCTACACGTCTGCACGAATTACAACCCAACCGCAAGTGGTGCACCACCAGAGGTTCGAACTCGCGACCTTTTTGATCAGAGTCTAACGCCCCAACCACTGAGCCACGAGTTCGTTGTCTGGCCGGTGTAAATCGAGAGCTTTTGAGACTCGTTGATGAACGTCGCGAATTCGAACCTTGGGTTGTGCAACACTTGGGGCTGGGTCTGACTAGCTGACGACGGCTAATAAGTCAGAAATTGCCATTTAAGTCTCCCTTGTGTTTGCCACAGATACTATCTGCCTATAATAATAGCTGCTACGGCTGCTGTCCGGGCTCGAGAAATAAGGCCCAAGGCAGAGCAGGACAAGTTGGTTCCGTTAGCGATCAGTTAAGGTTCATCAACAAGTGTCAAAAACCCTATATAGACGCTTCTCTGCATAGATTAATGTAGTAATTGTCAATACCAAAGCAATAACAGGTGCCAAGGTACTTTTAATCAATTATAAGGACTGGGGAGATGTAGACAGGAAGGTAGGGAGGAGAACCCAGAGAAGAAAATACAGGTAGACGAACCGATCTTGAGCTTGCAGATCTAGTTGCGGATTCCAGTCGGAATCATGAATTATAACAGTATCGGCAGCTGCTTGAAGGTTCAGACCAAGGCCACCGGCACGCGTGGAAAGCAAAAAGATGGGAAGCTCGGCAGCAGTTGTTGTGTTAAATCGATGAACAGCCATTTGACGCGTTTCGAACCGCATCGCGCCGTCCAGACGTACCCATTCCCATTTTCGGACTTTTAGTAATTCTTCGATGATGTCCAGAGCCATGGTAAATTGTGAAAAGATCAAAGTCTGTAAAGATAAAAATAGATAATACAGTACTCGCGTTCTTCAAAAGAGATGGCTGCGCTGACTTGTTGAAGTTCGTCGCAGGAAGCACTTGGCCACCAACATTGTGATAACAATAGCATAATTAGTCTTCAATGAAAATTTAGACAGCATTTCGTATAAAAACAAAATAAGCGCACAGTAAGGCAAAATAGTACAACATCCAAATATGCACCCAGAGCAGTCGCTTACCAATACTCGGCCGAGTTGAAACGCATTGATGCAGCATTCCCCCGACACGTGAATCCTATCTGACTTCCATCACTCCCTCCCTCACCCTCAACACTAACCGTGACATGTTTATCCACCCCCTGCCATGAAAATCTGTCTACCTGACTCCCCGAAGCTCTTCGAACCTTAGGTGTGACAGAAACTCCGGGCTCAGATGGAAGAGGAAAGAGAGGGAGGGTGCGGTTGATACTGTGGAAAGTCGACTTTCAATTAAAACCTAACTCGCGCTCAAGTCAATGCACCAACCTGTTTGGAGCATAACTTGGGCATCATGAAAATTGATGGCCAAACTGTCGCGTGCAAAACCGGGAGTGATTGGTTGCTCACAAACCAATCTGGGCGCTCGACCGACACAAAGCTTTATCAATTGACTTTCAACAGCTGCATCACTCGTGAGCACCTGCATGCATCTGCTGGTCTGCATCCTCTGTACAGTGACAAAAACAACCCAGGATAAGCAGCACGTTCTTCCGATCACTTCCGTGGAGGACAAGGAAACTTTTAAGTGCATATTCCCATCATTTATGCTTATTGTAAATATAAGATGCATGTATAGGCACTCACATATTGTTTTAGTATAGGAAGCACCATGCTGTCATGCTTAGCTAATCCTGAAACATTTTATGTAATTATTTAGATAGGACACGTTCTGTAACTTTCAAACTATAGCTGGATACGGTAAAAATTCTATAGTTAGCCTGAAGATTAAAGCATGATAACCGTCGAGCTAATCATGCAGAAAGACGGTATCCTGGGGCTGTACGTTGTCTATCGAAAACTACACCCAGTGACTACAGGAGAGGCATATGGTGGAAATAATCGAAATCGGTGGTCGAACTATCATCTACCCGATATTATATCATCACACACATATCATCACTATATTACCACTTTGTTACGACCTAGATGCATGGTAGATCTTCAGATAGTATTAAATAAACGTTTCTTTAACCATTCAGCTTACTTAAAATCAACATATAGGTTACGACTGCATATTAGGTTAAAATGTCCTACATGCACAACCAGGCCACACTGCAGCTCGCCACTTACTGGCTCCAGCACGTATGATTAATAGAACTAGCATAGGCCCAGCACTTCTAACGGTACCATCATAGCCCCAGTGGTTTTAACTTTAGGAAACAATCAGGGCAAGCACTTAAGCATAGGCAAGTTCTTGTAGCAACAGTATCGCAGTCCAACTCCTAATTGAAACGAACACAACCTGAGAGGATAGAGTTGAGGGGGCGGAAAACAAGGCAAGCCCTGATGTGCTCAGGGCCTCAAACATGTATTTACTATCAATAACATCAACCCAGATTTTCCACTCTTTGTTGAGAACAAAGGAGGTATTAGCATCTGCCTTAATTTCAAATCAGCGTCACTTCTGACAAATGTTAGCCTCGGAAAAAGTACCAGTACTACTATGACCCGGCTAAACTGATAGTCAGTAGTAGTAGAAATAGTAGTAGCCGCATCAGTCTCGGTCTCCTTGGGCCTGTCTTTACACCTATTAAGGGTGAGTGAGGGTAGGTAGTACAGTAGTACACGCGCAAAGTCTACTGTCACTTAAGACTACGTTAGGCGGTGTTTCGGCTTGCATTGGCAAAAGCAGCCTACGCTGGGTCCCGTTTGGTCTTATTGACCCCGGACGAAGATGAAAAGTGCAGTTGACGCTAACTGCGTCCGTTAACACTTTAAACTACCACCTGAGGCCGTCACCTTCTGAATCAACCTGTTAGTGCACTTGGTGGACTTCAGCAAAATCGATGGTCGAACACACGCACAGACCTGCCTCCCCTCACAAAACGCTCTAGTGCAACAATCTCCCTCAGAACTTCCCATTTCGTCTGACAACAGGTCGGTGTTACCTGCTTGAAAATTCACGATTACAACTCGATTTTCCGAAGACCTTCCTTCGCTTCATTATATCATCTCGAAAATAAAAAGTACTCCAGTTATCCAAGTACGCATGCATCAAAAGTTTGAAAGTTTGCTGTTCCAAATATTAATTCAGTGAATTCGGACTTAAGAAACGTCCACAATGATGACTGAAGCGGGACTAACGTCTTGCCAAAAAACTATTTCGATAACTAAAAGAGAATTCTATTTCTGTTCGTTTCTTTTGAGTGAGTTT